TAATGTAGCTCTTAATGAATGATAGCATGATGAGTGTAATTAGAATACATCTTTCTTTTTTAAACACTCTGGTTTTGCTGAGATTAAAAATACCATCAAGCACTCATACTTCTTGAATGCAAAATGAAATTCACTGTTCCTCATCAACCTGCTAGCAAGCCAGGAGGTTTCCAGAAGGCAAGCTGGGTCCATATTTCTAGCATGAAGTTGAAAATTACTTCACTTGTAAGTGCCTTTGATTGAATATGCCTTTCAATATACATATACAGTTCTGTCAGTGAGTGTTTTTATTGCTAGTCCATGACAAGCAAAGAATTGTGCTCACATTCATGAAGGTGTGGTTTGAAAACTAGTTATTTTAGCTACTGTACTTTCAACTGGGAAACTGCAAAAGCATCATCTTCACTGAAAAGATGCAGCCAGCAATACAAGAAAGAAGGTTACGTCCTATTTTCTTGCAAACATAAAAAAGGCAAAATTACAAACCTTACTATGTGTAGTTATGACTATAGGAGGAATGAGGATAATCCATCACAGTCACCAGAAAAGTCCCCTGTCCTAGAAGTCACTTCCTTGTCTGGGTAAATTACCTTATGCTGATTTTGGTAAGATAGGGTTCATTTTCTTCACAGTAGCTAGTATGGGGCTCTATTTTGGATTTGTGCTGGAAACAGTGTTCATAACACAGGGATGTTTTAGTTACTGCTGAGCAGCACTTAGAGTCAAGGCCTTTTCTGCTTCTCACCCCACTCCACTGGCGAGGAGGCTGGGGGTGCACAAGAAGTTGGGAGGGGACACAGCTGGAATAGCTGACCACAACTGACCAAAGGGATATCCCATAATTTATGGTGTCATGCTCAGCATATAAAGCTGGGGGAAGAAGAAGGAAGGGGGGATGTTCAAATTGATGGCATTTGTCTTCCCAAGTAGCTATATTATGTGTGCTGGAGCCCTGCTGTCCTGGAGATGGCTGAACACCTGCCTGCCAATGGGAAGTGGTGAATGAATCCCTTGTTTTGCTTTGCTGGCATACACAGCTTTTGCTTTACCTATAAATTGTCTTTATCTCAACCCATGAGTTTTCTCACTTTTACTCTTCCAATTCTCTTCTCCATCCCAACTAGGGGGAGTGAGTGAGTGGCTGTGTGGGGCTTAGTTGCTAGCTGGGGTTAAGCCATGACAACCTCAAGGAATAAGAATGTAATCACCCCATGCTTATCCAGTCCTGAATTTATTGCTGTCAGGGTCAAGTTGTGCTGGGTTTTTTTGTGATGTGGACACAGGACTAAAGTAACACAGGAATGCTTATTCTGTACTTCGTGACAGCATACATGTTTAGTTACCCTGGGCTACAACTGGCTGGTGCTTCAAACTTGAATGTTTGAAGAGCCCCTTGTTCTCTGTTATGATCCTGGAATCTCTCATGTCGACACATTGATATCAATATGTGATGCTTATGTTCATTTAGTTTTGTTACAAAGTGGTGATAGACCTCAGTCACTCAGGCCTGAATATGTAGCTGGTTCTCTGGATTTGAGATACCCTGAGCTTTTACAAGAATCCCAAATTTGACTTCCTGTGAGTCAACACACTGGCTGAAAGAACCATCTCTGACTTTGGCTGCAAGGAGGACAGCAGAGTCCCATATCTGTTTTCGCTATCCAGGCAATGTATTCCATCCAGGCAGCTCTTACTGGGAGTATACTGGTTATTTAAAAGATGAGTGATGAAAAGCTAAAAACTAAGATGTGAAATGTCACCGCTTTTCCCTGAGTATACAAGATCATTGCTGACTTCTAGAAATAAGTCTTATAATTTCTGTGAGGACATGTAGGTCTGAACCAGCATACCTGTTTTGCTTTCAGTATGCCCATCCTGATTTATTCTGACTGAGAGAACAGAGTTTGCAGTAACTATGCTGTATACATAATAGGCATTTTGTACAGTTGTAGGCGGAGAGATGACTGGAGTGTATTGAATTCAATGAAAAGGTTCCCATTGACTCCAGGGGACTTTGAATTATACTCTGACCCAGTAAAGCACTTTAATGTAGGCTTTAGCTCACTATTTCACTGAAATCATTGGAACTGTTCAAGGAGGTAAAATTAAGCATGTACAGCATTTACAGGCTTTGGACCATAAAAAAACCTCTGTTTTTCTCCCTTTTTCTGTTTTCCTTCCTGCATGTGTATATGCACATAAACATTCTCTTTTCCTAAATATGAAAAATCTAACTTTTGCTAAGTATATCTCCTTGTTAGTGAAGGTGTACTTAAAATAATGCTAATTTATGCATAGCTAGGAGATCAATAAGTTTTCAGTAGAAAGTATCATACTTTTTATGTAAAGAGCAATGTATGATTTGGTAGGTGATTTTGGCCTTCAGTTCCCTCCCTGCAGTCTTGTCTTAGGTCTGCTGTGCACTTTGAAATGCATCATCTGTGGTCATATTCACATTTCAAAGCCGATCCATGACTCTGCGTGCAGTGGGAACCATACTGCATTTTAGATTACCTTGCAGAAGGTCTTTTCCTCTGGATCGATGTTGATTTTAACTTGTTTGAAATGTCCATTCTAATGTAGTGTGGCTTGAAAGGAGATTAAATGAAGGACACCTTTTGCTTTGCAATTATTAACTGTAAACCTGACTTTTTATTTTTGTCTGTAGTAGTAAAAACCACTGTAGTAATATGTTCAGCTATCTTGAAATACATTATACTTGCACTGCTGGGATTTGTTTCACTGATCTTGTTTTGTACTATTTGTCAGGCAATTTAGCTTGTCTGATCAAGTTAAATTAGTGGAAATTTGAATGTTACTTCATACCAGTTCCCTGTGAGCTTCCAGTGAGTTTCTGGGTACAGTTCAGTAACGTGTTTATCTTCTACATTACTCAGTTTTAACTCTTAAAAAATTTGCATCCACACCTATTTTAGACAGATAAGGTCTAATGCATCTAGGTAGTGTAGCACTTTAGGAATATACTGCCCCTTAAATGTCCATTGTGCTTCTATGCCAAAGACTGCTTCCATAACAATGAAACTAGCAAAACCACATGCATTAGGATACATATTTTTACACACTTTCTACTAAGTCAAGTCTACACACCTTCTTCTGCAGTCCAAAATGAGCCACCATACTAAAGCAGTTCAGGCAAGGGCAGATACTCTCTTCTGATTGTACCCACTATCAGGCAGTAACAAAAAGGTGGAAATAATAATATTTTGGATGACTACAACAGTTAACTGAGAAAGCCTGGGTTTACTCTTCTGCTTTTCTTACCCTCTCTTCATTTGGTGTTTGTAATGTTATAGCAAGCAAGTGTCATTAAGCAAAACTAAACCCACTTGCTTTTAGCTAGCAGTGTCTGGTGCATTTATTTTGTCCCACCCTCCCCTGTTTATGGTCAGAATCCAAAATTGCTTATTTCCATAGCAGACTGAAAACAAATTAGTAGTTACATGTGTAAGACTAGCAGGTAACTTCTGGCAGTTTATGGATCTACTGATTCTTTGCTATCTTTGTCTGCTGGAGATTACCAAAGTTGGCTCAAATTTGCTTTGGATGGTGCCTTCTCTGAAGGTGTCTGTAAAGACCTGGCTTGTTTAATTTTTATTTTAGTGGTAATAAGGCCAGTTTGATGTTACCAGATCAAAGTGAGTCAGGAAGACTTGAAAAAAAAACCACACAGAGACTACTGTACTTCAGAAATTACTTATGGAGCCATTATTTATCTGGTCATGTAACCATGTAATATTACTAGTAATTTGCCATTCTATGTATTATTACAATGCGATAACTTGTCCTTTTTGAAGCTGCAGTATTGTGCACTGGCATAATAAAGTTGTCTTATGTTGCTACTTAAACATCAAAGGAAAAGCAAGATGTTTCATCAAGAGGCTTTAATCAGTTGTTGGTATTGCTGAACTGGCTTTTACTAGTAAGTTGAAGGTGATGAGATAATTCTTTCGAAATGTTAGTATTAGTGAGGGAAAGAGATTTTCAGAAGATATAAACTACAGATAGCTGACTGCATAAAGGAGCTGCTAATGATACTAACATTCCAAACACTTTTGATTAAGAGACAATCTATAGCTCTCATCTTGTTTGCTTTAGATTTAGTCCGATGAGGCTGTGTGGGAGGTGGACACTCTGTTACTCCTGTGGGTTTTTTTCCCCCCCTTTATTTTAATTCAGCCCTTAGCACAAGTACATAAGTCATCTTGGCAGCAGGGTGAATAGTCAGGTGAATCTTCAAAGGTGAAACTGGAAGACAAATGATGAAAACTACGTAGTATATGCATCAGTCTTCCAAGTTGTCATGAAATGATGCTGCTAGCAGCTTTATCTACAGTGAGTTTCTGCTCAGTCTTCAATATGGGAGAAGATCCTGTTCCTCCTGTCTGCTAGTCTGACTCTGTGTAGAAAAAACAAATCCTAACCATGCCATCCTACACAGGGCGCTTTGGGAAGGGGAATGATGTTACGGAAGTGACCAGTAGGTCTACCTCCTCTCTCTTGCTACTTTTCTGTGGATGCAAAGAAGACGGGACTGATTGGCATGGCATGGTCTTGTCCATAGGTAAAATGCTTCTTGGGGAACAGTTTTTGGGCTAGTGATGTATGATATTTTATTGCAACAGGATTTTATAAACAAGTATGTATTAAATGCTAGAATGTCAGAGCACCTGGAATAGCTGGAACAACAAAATAGCTGTTGCTGTATTAATTAAATCTAGCTCGTTCCAGTTTTTTTGAGTACAGTCAAATGGATTAACCCAGTGTAATACATTTAAATCCAACTAACACATTTTTATGTAGAATAAGAGTGCATTATGGGGTGATAGTACAGGAACATTCTTTTCTGTCCATGTAGACAAACCTCAAATTAGCATACTTACTTCCTAGTAATGTGATTTTGATGTTTGTCACGTTTAAGAATAGCACAGAGCATTCTGATTAAAAATGCCTCATAATGCTGCTGCTTTTCTCTTCACCAGAGGCCAGCAGAAACTGTAGACGAAGAAGAAAATGCAGAAGAGGAAAATGACAGGGGGGAGGAGGCATATAAAGGAGAGGAAGAATATCCAGAAGTGAATGGAGATGAAAGTGGGGAAACTGTTAAAGAAAGAAATGAACTGTTAAAAAAAGAAGTGGAAGAAAACAAGAAGAAATTATATGAAACAGAAGAAACAGAGAATATTAACCAAGCAGAGGAAGAGGAACCTATCCATTTAAATGACAAGAAAAATGTAGAAAATGGTGAGGGAGTGGAACACTTGAACTACCAAGGTGATCTTCATCCTGAAGAAGAAAAAAAAGAAGAGGATTCTGACAGTCAGAACCAGGTGAGTGTTTATTCTTTCAGTTTGTTCTTAAGTTATTGTTTCTCATTCATCTCAGCCTTAGGCTTCTCAAATAGTCTCTAACTAGCTAATTCTGATAAGGTCCTGACAGCATTTATGAGAACTTCAGTTTGTGGAAAAGCTGTTTTCCGTCTGTCTAGATTAGTTATATCAGTAATTACATTATATGCCCTCCAACCGAGAAAGCAGATGTTTCTCACTATTTGATGAATCTGCATCTCCTGCTTTCCTGAATATGCTGAATTTTGAAAAAAAGTAATCTTGCAATTTCCAGAAAAGCATAATCATTCATAAAGTGCTCTTGCCATTGCTTTGTGGAAGTTTCATCTCCTTTTCTTAGCAATTGGAAAAACCAGTGGAGATTAACAAGATCCTCAAAGCAAGGGGCTTTAGTCAGTTTAAAAGCAAATATCCTGTTAATGTAGGAGACACAGTAATATGCTCTTGTCTTAGATGGAAGCATGCAGCCCAGAAGGATAAAGTGGACTACCCTGACTGGCAGATGAACTGACCAGTGAACAGAATGTGGGAAATGAAGTGTTTTGTTTGATGGGGAGAATCCAGATCTGGGAAGAGTGTGATTCTTGAGCACAACAGAAGCAGAACAACTTGCTGCATATTCCCTGCCTATAGGCTGCTGAAAAACAAATTATTCCTCTGCTTCTCGCAGAGGTTTCTTGCAACTGGGCTTTCTTCTGTTTCTGTATGACACACAGGAACATTTTTCAATTAGGACAGCTGAGTAATGTGACATTTTCTTGGGCCCTGAATTTATCGTGTGCTTGATATATCAGGGCTTTTTGTTTGTTTTTCAAAAAGCTGGTTATTTATGGAAGTGGAGGAAGTTAGTGAGCATTCACTTTAATTGGACATGTGGGTAACTGGATGTTCGATGACAGAACTGGGGGGGGAGCCTCTAATTTGAGTACTTTCTCCTCTGGAAGGAATATAAGGTAAATAAAAAAGTGATCACTCTCAGAAAACATTTTTTCACATTAAGAATAACTTGTGGAAATTTTAGTATGAAGTGCTAACACTTTATTGAAATGAAGTTAAATCTTTGTTACTCTATGAAGTTAATGGCACTTGTCCTTTTTCTCTAGGTTGATTCTCATCTTGAAAAAACATCCACAAATCCAAGGGTGACAATCACCAGCCCACAAGAAAGTGAAAAAAATGACCAGAGCAATGACTATGCTGCAGTTGCATAGATAGAAAAAATACAATGAGCAGAAAATGAAAGATTATAATACTTTAAACATGTTATATTTTGTGATTGATAACTTATAATGGGAAGATAGGCTGAGTACCCACATATTGAGTCTTGAAGTGATAATGCTGTGTGGACTGATATAGAAAACAAACATTAACAGTTACTAGAAGAACACAGAATTATTTTTACAAGGTGAGATTTTCCGATAGAATTTGAGGGGGTAAATACAAGAGTACTGTATAGAAATATTAGAAATAAATTAACTATCCTGTTGTATAAGATGGTTAGCAGTAATAGAATGACACTGTTCCAGAAAAAGGAAAAAAAAAACCAAAAACAAAAAACCTCACACCAAATTTAATGTCAAAGCTTCATTACGGATTTATTCAGAAAAGAGGAACAACTTTTGACTTTTAATGAGAACATATGTATCTTTTCCTTTAAAATTCCACATGATATATATGATTTCCAGACATAACATTAAGATATAATGAGAATACGTTCCTCACTTAATGGACTTATGCCCACAAAAACTGGTGTACTATAATGAATTGTCAGTCCTAATGTTACTAAATAGTGGATTAATTAGAACTGTTAGTTTTAAAATTTGCAGATAGCATTATTTAGCACTATGAATATACATAGACAGCCTACAATACTGCAGCTTGTTCCCGTTTACAGCAAGATGTTTTGCTGATTGTCCACTCCGATTCACTAAGAGTGAAATGTTACCATAGGGGAAAAAAAAAAAAAGGAAGAGTATGTAGCAGATTGGTTGCAAAAGTTGAGCTTGGGTGGATTTGTAATTCAGTCCATGTGAAATTTAATTTATTAATAAAAAAACAATAGGCCTGGATTCAGACTGAAATTGCTATGAAATCATTGCTGCCAGTGGAGCCATTTTAATATGAAACAAGTTAGGATGAGCCCACCAGTCTTCTGTAAAAGCAAAAATTGCTGCATTTATGAGTCCTTTACATAGCCTTAATGGTTGGAAGTGTGTCATCATCTTTTTGAGCAAGCTGGCTCCTGATAGGCTGTGGCTTAATTTGCCTTAGTAAATAAGGCATTGATCCATGGTATTGGTTCTCTTAATGACACCAATTCCATTGCTCTTATCGTTTCTCTGTTAGTAATGGGAATAATTTGTAGTTCATAGAAATACAGTCCTGAGAATATTTTCATCAATTATACAAAAGAAATAGCGAGGTTCCCTATTGTTAGTGCTAGTAAATTATTACTAAGAGAAACTAAATGTCATTTTTGTTGATTTCATGCCATTAAGACAAAAATTACATTTATGAACAAATTGAACTTGAAGCACTGTTTGAGGAATGTGAAGAACCACTTGTCATGACTGAAACTCATACAAACATCTACACTTTTACTACTAACTATTAAATATATTTTTCCAATGGACTAGAAATACGTATTCTTCAGCATATTTCTGAGTTACTTACATTGGCAATGTAAGGATAAAAACTGTAATGTTAAAAACCATATGAACAGGGTTAGAACATTTTGCTCTGTGGCATCTCTGAATTGTCTATGATTCATGTGTCCTTTGCTGAACTGTCTGACAAAGATCTAAGGAAATACTATATTTGTGATCAGTTCAAAATAAGCTCCTAATGTAGCCAAGCTCTTAAACAAGTATGTATGCTTCTTCTATTTGATATGGCAAATAAGACCATGCTCAAATATTTTGATTTCACTGGGATTTAAGAAGACATTTGAAGTTAAGCAGAAGTAAAAATTTTCCAATCCTCCCCCACCCCCCCCAAAAAAAAACCAAAAAAACCCACAAAACCAAAACAATAAACCCAGAATGAATAAAATAACTATACGTGCTAGTGAGGAAAATTGGCACACAGAAATCCTTTAGGTAACTTTATAGTTAATCCTGCACTGGAATAATACATGCAGTAGCATTAAAAGCCCTCAAACAATACTTAACCAGTCAGAGAAGGCATCTCTGTCTACTCAGGGAATTTACAGGCTGAACCTGCTGTGCAAAGCTGACCAAGGAAAATGGCTAATGCTGCATCTTTTCTTAAGAGCTGAATAGCTCATATGCTTACCAGTAAGCATGGCCTTAAATGTGTTGCTGAATCGAGACAAATGACAGTAATCTTGAATTGACATTACAATGAATGGGCTCATTGCTAGAAGTTAATGGTGTACCAAATAGAGGACTCTACTTGCAGATTAAGACTTGAACAACCTCTGAGATGTTCTTGGTCTTCAAAAGTTTAAACTTAAATTGACACCCCAAAAAATCTGATGGAGATAATTTGGAGAACATTTGCCTCAAAATGTTGTGCCTAGAAACCATATTTAGAAGAAACTGAGGGATTTGTATGGTGATACCTTTCTTCCTTTGGTTTCTATTTATAGCTTCTGTCTGCCAACAGTTTCTGTAATTTCCTCCCTTTACCCCAAAATGTTCAGTGCCTTCCATGCTTAAAAGACTTACAGATGTCAATAATCATAATTTAAAATCTTAAACTAAATTCCAGGGAAATATAATGTGATCATTTTCTTTCATGGGAGCATGAAATCCCTATAAGTGTTATTCAGCCTTTAAAATGTTTTCTTATAAGAAAGACGGGATATTTCTTCAGAAGAGCAAATCAGACTTTTTGGAAATGGAGATGTAATCATTTTATCATTCACCTTACAGCACTGACAACATGAATTTTGTATCGGGTTCTTTTATATAGAGAAATCAGTTTATGCGTAACAAATAGTTCTGATGTTAACGTAGAAATTAAACAAGAAGCATACAGGTGGTCTTGCTAATACTTTTTCCATCTGGATTTGTTGTGTGTGGTGGCTTAACCCAGTTTTACATAAGAAATACATTATTTTGGTAAACTTATTTAATGTTATCATATTAAGCTTATATGCAACAGTTTTGAGGGGGTTTTAAAGACTTGTTTTCTTGGTTTTATTTTTAAAAATAATTTGATATTAAAGAGAATTAGCATACATATATTCCTGTGTTTTGTCTCACATGAAGGCCTGTTTGATGTTAAGTCTATCTTTGTGTGACTGGCTTTATCAAACTGGTGATTTTACAGCTGATAGGATTCTCTCATAACTAGAAATTAAAAAAAAAATCAGATTTGGTAGTTCCATTATTATAGCTGTGAAAGAAAATTTGCTGACAATTTAGCTGTTACATAGTTATAAATCTAAGAATAACAGCAAAGTTAAACTGGCCATGTGTTTTTAATGTCATCGTTCAGGTTAGGACTGTATTATCAGTATGTATATACTGTTCACCTGATATTCAGAATAACATGAGTTTTATCTGTTCACTGGCAATACTTGAGAAAGTTACCAAACTTTTAGATGTCTCCTTGCTGAAATTCCTAATTTCAGTGAAATATTAAAGCATATGCTTAAATCCTATAGTACTGCATTTTTTGTTAAATTTTATCTAATGCTTTGGTACTTTGACATATCAGAGCCAAAATAAAGTTAGTTTCCAGAAAGAAAATGGTGAAAATAAGGAAAATATAATCTCCGCCCAGTCTCATCTAAGGTAAAGTGAAATAAACCTGCATGCAGAAGAAAAAAAGAGTAAGTATTCTGATTACTTGAAAATATGGGAAAAGGATTGTTGCTTGGGTATTTTGATTGATTATCCCAAAGGTATCTTAAAATAACCACTAGATAATAAATGTAAGTGCAAAAATAAGTATCTTGAGGAAGAGTCTATTTATTAAGTAGTAGCAGTCAGAATGATTTAATGGAATGCAGCTCAAGGATGTATTGTTTTGGGTGGCTGATAGCCTTCAATCTAAGTTTTAATCAAAAGAAATACTTTAGCCATAGCAATAGACAGTGGAGCTGTCTGCCAACTTTAGGTTATTGTGCATGTGCATATTTGTATGCATTAGCTCACAGATGCACGTATGAACACTGTAACTGAACGCATTTGCCCTGTGTTCACACATACTGCACACATAATGTGCATATATAATAATTAATCTTGTGATATAGTTAGTGATGGGAAAATATACTATTGGTTGTAGCTGAAATTTGCTATAATTATACAAGAAAACATAGCTAAGTCTAGTAGTAACAAACCTCATAAAAAGGATGACATGTTTTTAGGTTATGTGTACACTTGGGTGCTTTGCTGAGCCAAGCTCAGAATGCTTGAGGCCCTGAAGTAAAATGGAAATAGCAGCCTAAAACCAACTGAGAGCTATGTGGGTCATAAGGAAGTGGGCAGGATTTGGAAAATTCGAGAAAGAAAATACAAGTCTTTACTACAACACATGATACCAAAACTTTCAAAGGTCTTTGGTACTAGCTACAGCACAGGGATCTGATTTAAACAAAAGGTATTTTGAAACAGTAGGCAGACTTCCAACAACCTATGCAGTTACTAGGAATGCCTTTAAATATTCATATTTTTCTTGCAGTCACCTATGATACTTAGCTCTAATATTTGCTGGTTTTTAAATGAAACCCTAATTCAGTTATACTTTTCCCTTGCCCTCAGTGGGACTAAAATTTAATTCAAAATACAGGGGTTTTTTAGTTGAGAGCTTCTACTCTCTAATCCTAAACCTGTTTCAGAATCTCTTTAGTTTAAACTAGAATGAATTAATTCTCTATAAATTGATTCACAGTTCTGTATATCAAGAACATGTAGATTCAGGATTATGATTAACAAATTTCCAGAATCACGAGTTTTATGCATACTATTTATCCTATGAACTCTCTGATTAGTGTCCATGCATTTCAATGTAAAAACCAATGTCAGGTCTCTCTTCAGTAAGAATTGTTTACCTGTATGCTCACTCTCATATTCTGGACCCCAGCCTTTGTGCTGGCACTGATATGCATGTGCAGCAGATGAAGTCAAGCTCCTAATCCAAGGTCCCTCTGTAGAATCTTTTTAAAGGCAGTTACTTTTCCATACTCCAAATAAAAAATGAAAAAGTTGTGTCCAAGGCTAAATTCCTCTCCTGAACACCCAATTACAGCTGCAACACTGGTGATTTCCAGGAGAGTGGCCCTGCCCTGTTCCAGGCTTTCAGATGTGCAAAAAAGCACCATCCAGATCTTCACACTTAACACATCTGGCCTTGGTGGTTATACTGGCTATGGTTCTCTAGGCTCTCCAGGTTGTGACTGGAGATAAATTGCCCTCCAGAGGATGATACAAAATATCTGAGATCCTGCCCAAATCACCCTTAATGGAAGAGGCAACTTAAGAATTGGGCTAAAATTGGATGATGTGGACGGATAATGCCCACTTGGAATCCACTTAAAAATCCTTCCCCTACCTCTCCTACTTTGAAGGAGCTGACTTTCACAGGAAGGAGAAACTTTGGCAGGAGCTTGCAAAAGGCAGTAACAGCATGGAATCTTGAAGCATAAATAACATAATACCAAAGAACTGTTGACCCTGTAACAACTTCCAGTGATGGTGGATGAATGGTGGGCTGTGTCCAAAATGTAATTCCCTCTTCAACATGGTCTTATTTCCTCCCATCTGTTCTAAGAGGAAGAAAAGGAACAGTAAGAATTACTGTGCAGCTGCCCTTGCCCCAAAGTTGGGCACTTTTTTTTTTTTTTTTTAAACAAGCATGAAATAAAGCATAGCTTGCAAAGCTGGTATGTAAATCAAAACCTGTGCTCTGAAATGGTAGGATGCTTTTGTTAACAAAAGGCATGTATCTACAGAGTTGTGTGCTTTTCTTCACTGTGGCACTTGTGGGGTTTCTTCTCCTTCATCCTGTTCCTAGAGGAACACTGAAGTGCGAGCCCCCCCTGTGGGAAAAAGTTAGGCATGGAATGGGAGATAATTGGATGGTAGCAGCTCAAATAAAGGGGAAGGTGCCAAAACACAGAGGAGGGCCCTAGCACTAGCAGCCCAAAATCTTTTTCAGTCAGTGGATCGGCCTTTGGGTGTCAAGGCTGCAGAGGCTGTGGTGGTATGAGGAGCATCCTCTGGCAAGCTGCCTGCAGGAAGGGAGGCAGCGTCAACGTGGCTGTTACAGATCAAATTGATGCTTGCATTGTAAACCGACAATGAGAGCGGCTTTTGCCCCTAAGTCTGTAACACCTCAGGTCTCACCATTCAGAGGAAAATCACCTTTTCCCCATAGTGGGAGACTGCATTGACATGTTGAACAAAAGGTTTTATAAGAAGAGTCTAAGGGAAACTACATTTCTGAAGGCTCACTGCATTGCTTTCAAATCTTACCCTTTAGGGCCATTCCTTCTCTTTTCTTTCTCATCCTATCCATATCAGAAACAAACAAACAAACAAAACAGTTTGGATTTTCAGCTTTCAAATGTGAAAATATTTGAGTTTTTTTTCTTCAAAAACCGTACAGCTCTGCAGAATGAAAAATCAATACTGGAAGTACATATTCCAGACCCAACGCATCATCTGGTAGGATAGATCCTGACAAAATGCTGGAAAAAAACCTAAGCTTACATTATTTTTAAGCAAAGATTATTTTTTTTTCTTTAAAAACACATCATTCTTAAAGAAATTAGTCATTAAGAAAACCACTCCCGACCTCCGTTTCCCCTGTAGCCAAGCAAGACGTGCCCACACTGTGAATATGCCTGCTGTATGCTGGTGACCAATCCAGCTGCTTCTCTGGTGAAACCTGTGATGTGGAGACTCTGGCAGTGTGGATCAGGGGTGTGGGGTCAGATTTGGCTCTGGCAGTGTGGATGGTAGCGCTGGCTGCAGTCTGCCCTGCTTTTCTGCCTTCCCTTCTGGGAGAGAAGCAGCCTCCTTCATTCTCTCTGTAGGCTTCAACCCTGCCATAGCTGTACCTCTTGTGGAGCTGTGCTGGCTGTGTCCTTTACCCCCACTTTCACTTACCTTCCTAGTGCAGGTGAGTTGTGTGAGTGAGGCTCAGACTCACTTGTGTGTCACAGCTGCAGCCCAAGAACTGCAGTTGCTTGCGAGGAGATAAACTGGTGGGAGTCTCTGGGACTCCTGCTTGAGAGGCTGGGAACAACCAGCCCTTGGGGGCATAAGTATCCCAGCCTTCAGCTGAAGCAGTTTTGTGGAAGAACCAGTTGAATGTTGTAGAAACAAGGAGCTGGGCGTTAGGAGATCACAAAACCAATGTGGTAGGAGGGAAGGTCTATTTTATTAGTGAATACTTATGGGGTGGGTACCATCCCTTTGCGCTTACATGGGTGAGTGGATTCTCCTGCTCTTGAGGGAAGAAAATGTCTTCAGACCTCAGTAATAGGTAGATTTTTCTGCTTGTCTTAGTTAGGAGGGACTTCTGATTTGACTGGAGATTTGACTGATTTAAACTCCTCTGCCTCAGTGATAAAGTGGTGGTATCAGAGATGAGCAGCCATGCTGCCACTGCGCTTCAGATGCCCAGTTCAGTACCCTTATGCCTTTCCCTGGCAGACCCTTCTCAAGTGTGAGTTTCTGTGGGCAAACTGAAGCAGAGGGTTTTTTGCATAAAAGGTGTGGGGGCTTTTTGGGAGGGGTGGGTAGTTCACCTCAAGGTCTTAATACTGGTGTCAGGCTTTTTTTCCTTACTACCATGCATCCACGCTCAGATGTGCTGCTGCAGCCCTGTGGCAGGGAGAGCCGTGGTGCTGCAAAGGGCCCCCAAGCTTGGCTGCTGTGGGTGGGCAGGTACCTGGCTGGTGTGTGAGGGAAGGGGATCGTGGGTGCTGACTGACCTAGCAGTGTTTGCTGCTGCTTTCAGACAAACACCTGCTTCTCGGGAAGCCTGTTGTTTCCACCAGCAAGTGAAAAGGACTGCACATAACGCTTCCTCATCAGGGCTCCTGTACTGAAAGGAGTGATGTGTGTGTCGGGCGCTCAGCAGCATGTGCATCCGTGGGTATTCCGCCCTATCCACCCATGGATCATTTTCCTGGCATGTGGAGCTCCCAGCACCTCTGCCCCCATTACTGTTCACCCCTACTTACAAGCATTGAGCCTGTGCTGTATTAATTCCCTTACATGTGGGATGCAGATTGTAGTCTTTGACACCTCTGGTTTCTGCTCTTTGCTCTGTGTGTGTGCCTGAACACAGGTGTGACATGTGCAAGAGACACTACCAGCAGCCTCCTTTCAAAGCAGGTCTAGAGATACTTTGGTGTATGCTTTGGGCTGCTTCTACATCTGTGTGATCCACAGCTGGGTGTTTTGAAGGTGAAGACTCAGTGGCCTGGTCTACATTGCTCTTGGAGAGTGGTTTGGGAACTGCCTGCTGGGTTGCTTGCAGACAACCCGTATGAATAGACTTGGCAGAGTACCAGACAGCTAGGGGCCAGAGCCTTCTCAGCATAGATGCTGTGAATGTATCTTCAGAGAGACAATGATTTGGCAATCAGCTCTGAAGCTACTTTTGAGCTGGGGCCTTCGGTTTATGCTATTGGTTCGGACAGGTGAA